CAAACCCAAGTCATACGTGTGCAGTCATCAATAAAAGTAACAAACCAATGAGCATCACAAAGTGTAGCAATTTTAGATGGTCCCCAAACATAAGAATGAATTATCATAAACGAGATTGAACTTTTATTCAAACTAGGTGAAAACGAAGTACGGTGACTTTTAGCCATTTCACAAACATCACATTTAAAGTTAGAAATATCATGCTTAACAAATAGGCTAGGAAACAAGCTCCGCATATAGCCGAACGAAGCATGTCCAAGTCGACGATGCCACAACCAAATCTCTGAAGCTTTAGTCTTATCCGCCTGATTTCCTTCCACTGCAAGAGCTTGAGTCAATCCAAGAACTGTTCGATATCAGCTCCAAGTAGTAGAGCTTCCTCTTCCCAATACTATAACCAATCGTCTTGCGAGTCTGAATGTCCTTTAAAACACAAAAAAGGCCAAAAAATCACAAGACAATTGAGGATGACAGTTATTTGAGCAACAGATTATAAATTATAGTCAGGAGAAGAAACAACGAGTATAGAATCAAGATTCAGGGTATCAGAAAATGAAACATCGCCTTCCTCGATAATAGGGGCAACATTACCATTGGCAACACTCACGACAATTTTGGGAGATGGTTTTAGGGTTTGTACTTGTCTAGAATCACAAGTCATATGTTCAGTAGCACCAGAATCAATTATCCATGTATTATTTGTAACCGATGCAGAAACCTTTAAAGTTTTACCATCATTAATTGTATGTTCAAAATGTACCTTAGTTTTAGCAATTAATGCATGCGACTTATTACAACGGGGATCACGAGTCTTATCCCAATTAACAGGATAGCCAATAAGTTCAAAAAATCTTTTAAATGCCCTTTCAAACTATAGTGAGAGTACTTGTTGGGTAGACATTAGAACAAACCAAGAGTCGAAATATCTTCCTTTGGTTTGATCTCATTGCAAGCCATTAAATTGTAGCGTAAAAAATGGTGAATAGCGTGGCTTCAAGTGGAAGGTGGGACAACCTTCCCCATTGCAAAAGAAAAAACCCATTTTTTTTCTTCATCATGGGGCTTTCAAAACAAGCGCAAGTGCAGATGAGAAGCAATAGACTATAGCGACATGTGCAGATTTAGATCAAGATGATGATGTGGGTCAAATTGATTTCAGTCATATAGGTTTGTGCAACAATGATTTCAGGCAAGGTGTTCCCGTCGATTCAGCAGTAGAAGCAGTGAATCGACAACTGGGTTGGCGTCAGTATTGCAGCAGCGATGATTCGATGTCGGTTCGTGAGCTACGAGGCATGCGAGCTTCGATCTGAGCGTGATGCAGTAGTGGATCATGATGGATACGGGATTGGGACGGTGGACTCGGGTCAGCAATGACGGCGTCGCTTGCTCGTTGGATGGCACAACACAACTGGTATGTGACTATGAGTTCTGTTCTGCGCATAGTGCGCAACTTTTTTTTTTTATTATTATTAAACCTAGGCTATGGTGCCAAGAAGAGAATGCTTTGAATGATATGTTTATTCTTCTCATGAAGAGGTATAATATACAATATTAATCCTAACCAAATAGGAAAGAATAATTACAGGAGATTACAAAGAGATTTCTCCCAAATTACACGGGATCCATCCTAAACTAGGAAATCCTAAATTATAGGAAATACAAGTCAACATAAATATTTGAAAGAATTTTTTTTTTCAACTAGTTGTATTATGACATTTGATATACTGAGCCGTGTTACTAGTACATTGAAAAATTGATCTAAAACATGAGCTCAAGGAGAAGCCAACTTGTTCCATTACATCACCATTTGCTTGCACATTAGGTTCCTTGTGACAAAGAAGCTTTCACATCACATCACTTCAATGAGTCATCCATCTCTATGCAGCCTGGAACCGGATCCCCTCCGGACCCAAAGGAATTGAGCTTAAGGATCAAATGATTCTAACCATTGAAATTTAATTCAATGGCTACAATTATTATAACTTTAGAGGGACTTCCTGTTTGTAGTCGTTGATTTCAATGGCCCAGATCATTTGATCATTGGACTCAGTTTCTTTGAGTCCGGAGGGGATCCAGTTCCATGCAGCCTAACTAATCATAATTTCCAATTTCGTTTTCATACCCAAAAATAATTAAGTTGGACCAACATTTTTGAGAAAATTGGGTGTGACACAGTGACGTTTCGTTTTTATTTTTTTGGAACTTTAACGAAAAGCTCCCGGTATTGTTCACTTTAACAAAAAACCACATTTTTACACTAAAAAGTCAATCCTGATACTATTCACTTTACCCTTTATTTTGTCCTTATCGTTAAAACTCAAAGTTTTCAAACCCTTTTCATTAGTTTTTTTTTTTTTGTGGTGGTTTATTTGTTTGTACCACTAGGCTCATGGGTGGTTCAAAACTGACCAGGTCTTGCTTGAGTCATCTGGGGGTGTTACGATATGGACCCTCTACTTTGCTATCTCTACCGACCCACTCTTTAAAAATTGCGGTCAAATAGGATTCTGTTGAGAAATTTTTCAGTGTGTTAGGAATACAGGCACATACGCAATATGTCATTATATGAGTATATGAACACTTGAAAAAAAAAATTCTTCTATTTGTATAATAACACATGACTTTACGCGCTACGTCTCGTACCCCATTAAAAATTCTCTCCACTTTTGGCACCCAATTTTGACCACACAAAAGCTCCAGCTTATAAGATCATAATTAACTTGTGTTTTATTCTGTTTTCGACCAAGTTATTCTGTATTAGTAGATGTTAATCATGATTAGTAGGTTAATTAGTTGACTTTGGTTACTCCTCTAAGCTTCCCATCAACTTTGCACACACAAGTTACATCCTTCAATTGTCAAATGCTTAATCAAATTTGATGTGCGGGGGTAAAAAAAAAATAAATGTCACATCTCGGCCTAAGCCCCCACCACATCCCGGGCTCGACTCCACCATAGCATGATATTGTCCGTTTTGGCCTCCGACCACGCCCTTACGGTATTGTTTCTGAGAACTCACACGAGAACTTCCCAGTGGGTCACCCATCATGGGATTGCTCTCGTGCGAACTCGCTTAACTTCAAAGTTCCGATGGAACCCGAAGCTAATGAACTCCCAAAAGGCCTCGTGTTAGGTAGAGATGGGAATATACATATAAGGCTTACATGATTCACTCCCCTGGGCAATGTGGGTTGTCACAATCCACCCCCCTTAAGGGCCCGACGTCCTCGTCGGCACACCCTTGGCTAGGGATTGGCTCTGATACCAAATTGTCACATCTTGGCCCGGGCCCCCACCACGTGCCAGGCTCGACTCCACCATAACACGATATTGTCCGTTTTAGGCCCCGACCACGCCCTCACGGTTTTGTTTCTGGGAACTCACACGAGAACTTCTCAGTGGGTCACCCATCAAGGGATTGCTCTCGCGCGAACTCGCTTAACTTCGGAGTTCCGATGGAACCCAAAGCTAGTAAACTCCCAAAAAGCCTCATGCTAGGTAGAAATGGGAATATACATATAAGGCTTACAGAATCCACTCCCCTGGGCGATGTGGGATGTCATAATAAAAGCTTGGTTAAAGCCGTGAAATATTTCTAAATTTTGAGCAGGCGACCATCTAATTTTTCGATAATATTTTATGTTATAATAGTTTCAGATATAAAGTCATCTTATTTTTATTGACAAATGAACAAAATAGTGTTTTTTTTTAATAAACGATATTATATACACTAATAGAGAGGGGATGAGCTTAGTCTCACAATGGGCTAGCAATAATGTGGTTCAAATTCATCTTTGACGAGAATCGAACCTAAAACCTCTAACTTACAAAGTAAAGATGAATTCTACTAAATTGTAGTACCAAGTGACATGAACAAAATGGTGTTACATCTTAAGTAATTGAAAATCAGTTTTTTTTATATGCAAACAACAATTTTCATTACTGAAATATATTGGTTAGATTAATTCCTTGTATTGACCATATTTTTTGGGTCGTGCTGTCACACACTCATTTTTACTTCTCAGACACCATTCTTAATTTTCGGTCGTCTGATTGGTTGAATTGAAGAAGATCATTGTCCAATCCCAAATGACCCCAAAATGAAATGGGAACTAATTCTCACATCCTTTTGAGCTTATCATACACCCCTCTTACTTAAAATCATTGAAGGGAATAAATCAAACTAAGCAACCATTGAAAGTATGTGAGATGCTAAAAAGATTGTGTATCTATTGTTTTTTAATGAAAAAAGAAAAGAAAAAATAATTAGTTGGGTGGAGACTTTGGTAAACGGTAAACCCAACAGGCTAACGCAACAATTAGAAGGCTTTCACAAACACAGCTTATGAACTGTTAATTTGTCTGTGGAAACTCCAAGACTGGGCTCTAACTACAAGTGATGCTCTTGCACATGAAAAATTACAAATAAAAGCCCAAAAGGAACAAGATAGGTTGGGTTATTATTTTGATACAAGAAATATTGGGAGAGGAGAAATGAATTCGGAACATCGAGTGTAAGAATGAATGATCTTAAGCCGCTAAGCTACATGTCCTCCGCAATGAAATTGTGTTCTTTTTGCCCATTATTAGCTTCATTGGAATGAATTTTGTATATGAAGAACAGATAAGCGTAATTCGGTGCTCATCATATCATCTTCTCTATAGCTCCATTCGATTTTGTAAGGACTTGCTTCACATATAGTGGAGTTGCCTGTCAGTTGATTTGTGTTTACGAGGAAAAAATAATGGTGGTAGATAACCTTACTCATAATCTCTCGTTATCATGGATAGATCAATCTAATTACTTATTGTATCAATATTTCACTTGTCTTTGTTCTTCTTATACAAATGAAACTAGGGAAATGAGAAATCTTTGGAATTTCAAGTGTATAACCACTTCAGCTACAAATTTCTTTCGCAAATTGTTACTCTCAATCATGTAGACCTCTTTCCGTTAACCAATCATATTCCTCAAGACGAAACACAATCATATTTTGGAACATAGAGAACATATTTTTAAAAGTGAAATGGAAAAAGCTGGATATAAGAAGTCGAGTACAATTGCAGAATTAAGGCAAAGATTTCAACCCAAAGAAGAAATATCGTAAAGCACAAGAACAATGGAAGAAGAAAAGGAGGAGGATTGGGCCATTGCTAATTGACAAAAGAGGGCTACGTCATCACGTGATATTCACGTGGAGATTCTTATCCTTCCAAAACTAGTTTCGCTCCAAAAGGACTAATGTCCACAGGTATTGGACCACGTGTCGCTATCTCCATGCTTATTTACCTCATCTTGAACCCGTCCCGCAGGATAGATTTTTTAACGCGTCCCGCAGGATAGATTTTTTAACGTAATCAGTACACAAGATGATATCCTATGTATCATTATACAAATACTAAGATATATGTGCTAAAAGTTAACAACTTCAAATATAAAATTTCTCACCAAGTCACAACACAACACATGTGTACCACTTGAATTCTTCGCCTCGCAGCTAGTCCTCCCCTCCCGCCGCCCCCACCTACGACGCAAGGGCGTGGCGAAGCTTCCGAGCCAGCATACCCGGGGCGCTCAGATGGGGCAAGTGCCCTTCCGTCTCCAGAATCACCACCGTGTTCCGACCGCCCAGGTGGTCCCTCAGGTAGTTCGCCACCGACGCCGGCACGGACACGTCCTTCGCCGTCTGGATTATCCAGCACGGCACTCGGACCAGCCCCAAAACCCCCCTCAGATCGCTGTTGAACACGGTCCGAGAGACGAAAAGCGAGATGTCGGGTCGCATGTTGAACAGGGTGCGGCTGAATTCTCGGACCGCTGTCGGGACGTCGGCCCCAACGGCCAGCGGGGCGAAGCCGTTGACCCATGCCTCGTAATTGGCCTCCATTGCCGAAAAGACCCTCTCAATCTCCTCCTGCTCGAATCCTCCATGGTAATCTCGATCGTTTAGAAACCTAAATAAAAAAAATTAAACAATTGGGTTCTTCAATTCGGATGAAATATCCAATTGGGTATTAACAATTTGAAGAAATTTCTAGCTTTTGAGAAAATGTGCGAATTTTAATTTTACCTCGGGGAAGCGCCGATGAGTACGAGCTTGGAGAAGAGTTCGGGGCGGCGGATGGAGGCTAGGATGCCGATCATCGCGGAGACGGAGTGGCCAACATAGGCGCAGCGGTTGACGCCAAGGGCATCGAGAATGTTGAGGAGGTCGTCGACGTAGGCGTCGAGGGTGGTATAGCGGCGGAAGTCGAAGTAGTCCGGGTTGACGCTGCCGGCGCAGACGAGGTCGTAGAGAATGACGCGGTAGTATGGCGTGAAGTACTGGAGAATGCGCTGCCAGGCGGACTGGTCGGTGCCAGAGCCGTGGGCGAAGACGACGTACTTGTCGCCGGAGCCAACGACGCGGACGTTGAGAGCGTCGAGGATGGTGGTGCTGACCATGTTGACTGTTAAATTTTTGGGGGAGGATTGAAGTCAATGGGAATTAGTTGGAGAGTGGTGGTGAGTGGATTGTGGAGGAGTGGATTGTGGAGGAGTGTTGCGGTATTTATATTGGTAAGGGAGTATCAAAATCTTTGTATGGAGGGAAGAAGATTGGCAGCATTTTGTTGGTTTGGGTGAGAAATTTGATGGAAATTGTGACAGGTTTGTTTTTGTGTGCGATGGAGCTTTGCGTTTTATGCAGGAGTGACTGGTGAACATAGATTGTTTTAGGACAAAAGATTTCTATCATGTGTGATAAGGCTTGGACTGTGATGGTTCTCTCACTTAGTTGGCATTAACGAGGTGGCCCGTGTGTTCTTAGATTAGAAAAAATCGGTTATAGTGATTTAGACACATGAATTTAAGACTTCAGTTAGAAGATGCGATTATGAGACGGAGTCTCAAGTCAAAAGGGATACAGGAAGACCTGAGAAAACTTGGAAAAAGACATAAGAAAATATATGGAGTATTTGGAGTTAACGGAAATTTTGACGCAAAATAGTGCGCAGTGGCATTCTAGGATTCATACAACCGACTCTACTTAGTGAGATAAAGTTTTGTTGTTGTTGTTTGTTTGTAATAAATATTCTTAAGTCAGGACGAACGGATCACGTGGTGGTATTGTTGAAGTCTCAAAAACACGAAACACCTCACTCTTTCAACTTTACAGTCTCTCACTCTTTTGAGGGTTTAATTATATGGTTACATGGTCCGTTCATTCTGACTTAAAATTTTCACATAGCACAAGAGAAGTAGGAAACATCAAACATGAAACGAAAAAACATAAATGTGGAAGGATGTCAAATTTGGAAATCACATTGTCATGAGCAGAAACGAGAATATATAATTATGTGCGTATCTCACTCACCAAAAAATGAAGATATACAATTGGTGAATTTTATAACGTAAACACCAAATTACACTAATATTGATTTTGAGTAGAGAAAAAAGGTAATTACCACCTAAGTAATACGTTTAGCATGGTGTTTTGTGGATGATTTTTCACAAATATATGTGTGTAGTTTCAACAAAAACCAAAAGCCAACTTTAATCATGAATGATATGACTCCTGATCATGTAGCAAAGGCATGCTTGTCTCTGGATAACACTTTGACATGTAGCAGACCTCAAGCAACTAATCCAATTGGTAGTATTAGTTTATTCCAATTGGGGATTATCCTCATGGTTGACTTCTGATTAGAACTTGAGTTATTGGGTAATGGTATGTTTCATATGGATATTGTTGGTCAAAATTAAACGTGAAATTAGCTGAAATGATGAAAACACAAATCTCAGTAGCTGAAATAATTACTTTTCGAAATTTGATCGAAATGTCATCAAAATCTAATCGATAATCTCTTTAATATTCGATCAATTTGCCGTTGTTATTTAATTTTGATTATTTTAACAAATTCTCATTTCGGCCATATTTTTACACTAAAAAATCAATCATGATACTATTCACTTTATCTTTTGTTGATGCACAAAACCGGAGGTCTTGGAACAACGTAAATCCGACCGTGAATCTGCAAAAAATGTAAATGACACAAGAGGTATCGTGGTTCACCCCAAGGTTTGAGCTACGTCCACACTGATTGTATTTTTGAGGGTGAGAGAGCTCTGAATGAGAGTGAGAGCTTTAAAGAGATGAGGGGGCTTAAGAAATGGCCTCTGGAATGGCCTCCGAGGGTGAGAATGAGGCCCTCCCTAATTGTGAGGGTGAGAGGTCTTTTTATAGAATAAGGGCTCATCACTTATTACATATTTGCCCCTTCCTTTATTACATAATTACATTTGAGTCCCTCGAGTATTTATACGAGATCTAAATACGGAGGCCCTAAGTATGGTATAAACAGTAGTCCCCCAAGTCTTCAGTCAAGAGAGTCTTTTGGCTGGAGACTTGAAATTCAGTCCATGTGTGGGCCGAAGTAACTAGATGTTGTCTTGAACTGATGTTCGATATGAGGCAGTGCTCAATCTGAAGTGATGCTCAACCAGAAGTAGCACATGTTGCGAGGCTGCTCTGCTTGTGTTGCCTTGGTTGGCTCGGCTTGTGGCGTTGAAGGTGAAGGAGTCTTTTTTATAGAATAAGGGCTCACTCCTCAATACATAAATGATGGGCTAGAGTTGATGCTCGCGGCGAGGCGGTTGCTCAGTAGGCGGCGATGCTCTCTAATGGTGGTGAGGGAGTCCCTTTTATAGAATAAGGGCTCGCTCCTCAATACATAAGTGATGGGTTAGGAATGATGCTCGCAGCAAGACAGTTGCTCAGCTGGCGGCGTTGCTCTCTAATGAAGGTGAGGGAGTCCCTTTTATAGAATAAGGGCTCGCTCCTCAATACATAAGTGATGGGCTATGAGTGATGCTCGCGGTGAAGGGGTTGCTCAGCTGGCGGCATTGCTATCTAATGAAGGTGAGGGAGTCCCTTTTATAAAATAAGGGATCGCTCCTCAGTACATAAGTGATGGGTGCTCTCTAATGAAAGTGAGGGAGTCCCTTTTGTAGAATAAGGGTTCGCTCCTCAACACATAAATAATAGGCTAAGTCCCAGTGATGCTTGCGGCGAGGCGGTTGCTCAGCTGGCGGCGTTGCTCTCTAATGAAGGTGAGGGAGTCCCTTTTATAAAATAAGGGATCGCTCCTCAGTACATAAGTGATGGGCTATAAGGGATGCTCGCGGCGAGATAGTTGCTCAGCTGGCGGCGTTGCACTCTAATGAAGGTGAGGGAGTCCCTTTTATAAAATAAGGGTTCGCTCCTCAATACATGAATAATGGGTGCTCTCTAATGAAAGTGAGGGAGTCCCTTTTATAGAATAAAGGCTCGTTCCTCAATACATAAATAATGGGCTAAGTCCCCCAAGTATTTTTCATGAGGCCAAGTTGAGGCCCAATATATGGTACATAATGTAGTCCCCCAAGTCTTCGGTCAATAGAGTATGTTGGTTGGAGACTTCAAATTGAATCCATGTATGGGTCGAAGTGGCGGTTGTTCGGAGGTGGTATTTGTATACCCTGCACTGAAGCTTTGTAGGTGAAGCTTTGCAAGTGAATCTTTGAAGCTAGAGCTCTGTAAATGAAGCTTTCAAAGCTAGAGCTTTTGTAAATGAAGCTTTTGAAGCTAGAGCTCTGTAAATAAAGCTTTTAAAGCTAGAGCTCTGTAAATGAAGCTTTTGAAGCTGATTGTCATGAGTGATGCTCATGAATGTTTATGTTGATTGACATGAGTGATGCTCATGGATGTTGTTATGAGTGATGCTCATGAATGTTGACATGAATGATGGTCATGAATGTCATGAATGTCTATGTATGATTGTCATGAGTGATGCTCATGAATGCTTATGTATGAATGACATGACTAATGCTCATGTATAATTTGGAGTACTGGGCGTACTTTTGATCACCTGGTTGATGGCATGAAGGAGAGTATGGGTTGTACATTTCATCACCTGGTTGGTGGCATGAATGACTAGTTGTCAAATGATATTAGAGTACAGGTTGTACATTTCTTCACCTGGTTGGTGGTAATAGCGGCAGGTTGCCGAATAATTTTGGAGTACTGGGCGTACTTTTGGTCACCTGGTTGGTGATAATAAAGGGCCTGGCTTTTTTGGGCATATGGACATTCGCCCTCCCCATAGTATTGCAGCCCATTATTTTGGGCTTGCCCTTTTTTTTTTTTATTTTTTTTTTACCATCTGATGGAGGGTTTATACAGATGTCTTCGAAAGATAAGAAAAATACATCATTCAAAAATAAGAAAACTAAATCACATCATGGTGGGGTGTTTATTCCTTACTTTTGCTTTCTGCTTTTTCTTTTCCACCACACCTCTCTCTCTCTGTCTCTGTATATGTCTCTGCGCTGCTGTCATGCATGTGCTCAGTAAAAAACCCAACCTTTCAGATTTTATTCTCTTCTCTCATTTTGCTTTCTGTTTTGCAGGTGGCAGACAAAAGTAAAGTAAAGTTCTTTTCTTTACTTTGCTTTACTTTGCAGATTGCAGATGGCCAGACGGTTAGAGATCTGGTCGTGACGACCGTGAAACAAGAATCCTGGCAAGCGTGTTAGCAACCTCTCTGGATGCCTCGGAATTGACTTGTCTCAACCAAACTATGTTTATCACCAACAAGGATTTTGACAGTGTACGGCTGAGGTAGCCATGAGGACATCTCGACTGAACATCGTCGGGCTCGAACAAAGCTCTAATGCCAAGCCTCTTCTTGCTGGTCTTTCTGGGTAGAAGCAGGGACAAATTGCAGGACTTAGACTTGCTGGAGAAGCAGGCGTAGGCGTTGACTGGAGCGTCAGATTCGTGGCCAGAAATGTCGGAAACGATCAGAGCCTTTTTTAGAAACACCGTCGTTTTAAGCAGAAGGCTGCTGAAGCTTGGACTTTTCCAACTGCGCCTACTGCTATTGAGTCTAGTTGTATGCTAGAGCACTACTTGTGTTGCTCCTCCGATTGAGAGTAGCAGGGACGGCAGCAGTCTGGTTTCGCGGAGCTTGGAACCGATTGCAGGGGAGGTAAAATCACTATTGGCGATGAATGACCAAACTCCTTCCTTATACGACTCTACCCATCACCTCATCTGCTCTGTCATTGTCGCATCCCGGCCCAGGGCGGACCACTTCCCGGGCCCGCTCCACCACCGTAGCACGATATTGTCCGCTTTGGGCTTACCATTCCCTCACAGTTTTGTTTTTTGGAACTCACGAGCAACTTCTTAGTGGGTCACCCATCCTGGGAGTGCTCTGGCCTCCTTCTCGCTTAACTTCGGAGTTTCTACGGAACCCGAAGCCAGTGAGCTTCCAAAAGGCCTTATGCTAGGTAGGGATGAGAATATACATTTAAGGATCACTCTCCTGGACGATATGGGATGTTACAGTCATCATCACTGCAGAACCTGGAATTGCTGTGCAGATGAGCGGATTTTGTTGGGTCAATTATTGCCTAAGTTGGGCCTGCCCCTGATTCATTTTCTTGATGAAATTGGGAACCTTGGACCAGACCGCCTTTTTGTCTCAGCGAGGCCAACAACTGCCCAAATAATTTCTCAAACCACAATCCCCCACACCGTCGAATAATTTCTCAATCCACCCAAGAACCAGTTTTTTTTGTTTTAGAACAAATCTCAGAAACAGAAACCTACCCAATTCAGAAAATTAAATGATCTACAAACCCAGCAAAAC